AATATTAATCTATACAAAAAAGCCCTGTCATCTTCCCACAGAATGAATAGGAAGTGAACATAAGAAAGCAGATATGGAACCATCCTGGATCAGAGTAACAATTATTTTTCAGCACATGAAATAGAAACGTATGGAGTTATACTAGTGAAAAAAAATGAAAAATACTAGGTAGAATGAAGTGAAAAAAGTTATGCGTTAGAAAACAACCTGTACACATAAAATAATGGTTTATGCAAAAAATGTGGACAAGAGAAATATATTGTATAATTGTAGAGAAAACAGAGAATTGAATGTATCCAAAGCAGTAAGGAACAATTAAGATTAAGTAGAAGCAGAGAAACTACAGAATGGTGTATGGAAATATAAAATGATTTTGGAAGTGGGCAAAAGTGTTAAAAAAGGAACTCCAACAGATTGAATGGAATTAAAAATAATCAAATGATTTGTGATGAGAGAATACTGGAAGGAATATTTTAAAGGTTTGGATGGAAATCATAGGGATATATTGAAGAGAGGAACTGAAATTAATGAATGCATTAATGTCCAGGAAAAGAAAATGGTTAACCTGCAAACATACCTGTGACTAGAGATATATTAATATATAGGTATGAAATAGCCATAGGGTTTGTTTAACGTTTTCTATGTGATTGAGATGGTTTCTAAATTTGATAAATAAATAAATGTGCATAAAGACTATATAGATAATTAAGAATCACTTACAAAGGGAAAAATAAGGATGAATGATTACAGTGAAATTAATTTGTTGAAAATCCTTGAGTTAGTATTCTGCAGAATTCTGATTGAAAGGGCAAGAGAGGTGACAAGTCATACAACTTAGGATATGTAGTGCAGTATTATGCTGAACAGCAGATTGTGTATATTTTTGCTTTTTAGCAAGTTATTGAAAAAGGTATGAGTGTGAGAAAGAAAAATATTTTATATTTGTTTATTTAGATAAAGCATATAATAAAATAAATTGACTTCAATTATGGAAAATGTTGCACAAATATGGAAGTTGGTTGCAGAGTATGATAAGGAAGATATATGATGTAGATACAGCATGCAAGAGAAAATGGAATACTTGGCAAATAAGTATTAAGCAGGGAGGAAGCTGAGGATGCATTACTTCCTGATTATGTTATAGATTTATACTGTACAATCTGAAAGAAACCCAGGTCATATAAAAACATCTCAGCCTTTTGGCTAAGATTAAGTACAGATGTTATAGATATTTTGATTGGAGGTATGAATGTGTATATTTTTATATGCAGAGAAATTCATTTTATTGGTTGAGAAGCCAAATATCTCATACCAAATGTTAAATATAATGTATGATACAAAAGATAGGTAAATTAATGTATTGATAATATAATTGTGTTGGACTGAGAAGATTTAAATAATAAATAAATAAATAGAAAAAATTATCTCAAATTGTACATAAATTGTGAAACACTAGACCATTTAGATGAATTTGTGTAGAGTGGTGGAATACATATTAAAAATAAAAAAATGGAGAAATGTTAAAACAAGCAAATACTCTTAAAAAGTTAGAAGTTATGGAAACATAAGACTATTTTGAGAGAAATAGAAATGGCTATACAGAAATGTGCTTCTGCCCACTTTGTTACCTGGAGGTGAGAACTAGGTATGCCAGGAGAAACATAAGAGTAAGCTGGATTTAGAGGGAATAGTATTTAGAAGCGTACATGGTAAAATTAAAATAGGGTAAAAATGAGTAGGCACTGAATGAATGTGTGCTGAAATCAAATTTGAATGAATAGTATGAAAGTAAATTGCCATAGCTTGTGATAGGAGGAATCAAATTGTAAAAATATATATGAAGGAAGGCTGAGGGGGTTATAACAAAGAGAAAACAAAGATTGAGAAAATTGGAATTGGGTGGAATTCATGAGATCTTCCAAAAGAGAATTTAAGGAACAAAAGGCAATGTATGAAGTAATAAATTGTCCTAATGAAAGGAAGGATTGGAAAATATGAAGATGTATTGTGTTGGTCTAAACTACATTTACCTTTTATTTTCTGGTTTAATCTTAGGTTTTTAATTCATTTTGCATAAAATTGCAAAAAGGGAATAATAGGATGGTACTAGAAATCAAAATTAATACATAGCCATATCTGGATATTCTTGAAATATGATATACAAGTCAAAGCATTGTAATGCAACCAGAAAAGTATTCTTAAAAAGTGTATGGTAAAAACAAGAGCTAATAGATGCTGAATGAATTTGAACACAAAGAGTGAATGACCAATGAGAAAGACTTTTATGTAGTTTAGTCATAGAGAATGAGAAACAAATTACAAAATGAAAATACGAAGGAAGAATGGACAAGCGAAGACTGAGAAAACTGTGATTGGATGGAGATGAAAACATCCCCAGAAGAAAGGAGAAGTGTAAACAACAAGAGGTAATGTAGAATCACTGAATAATGTAATGGAAGCAAGGATTGGAAAATGAAATTTACATAAATATAGCTTACACAAGCACAAATTACTAGATGTCTCTGTACAGGAGAGATATATTGAATTGCATTTGTACAAACTGGAATTTTTGTAGATTTCTTTTATTCCCTGCATTTAATTCTCCTCACTACTTTATACCCTTTCTAATCTTTGTCCAACTTTGCTTAGCCTGAAAGTGAATATCAATGAAGGGTAATATGTACGTTCAAACGACCAGGCAGTTTTAATTACTGACTAGAAGGAGGCCACGTAGCCAATAGTTTAATGACCTGGCTCCTCATCTCCCATGATAAGGATCTAAGAAGAGTGGAATCCTCACGTTTCACAAATACAAATATATGACAGGAGAAAGTGCTGTTATTTATGCTTAGGTGCTTCCCAAGAGTTCCGTTCACTGAGAATTTGAAGGGCAAATGGCAAACATGCTTATCTACACATCCCTCCAATCTGCGTTCCTTTAACCTACACAGAGCCTGATTTTTGTAGGAAGTCACAGGCACTAGAGAAACAGTTCGGCTCATGGTATTACAGGAAATACACATTAATCCAAGCCCAACGAAGTCCCACGTCCTCCTGCGTAATAAAAAAAACCCTCTTCTTCGCTCATCTGAATTTCCTTTTCCTTTAGGAGCGTCAGACATTGATTCTGACAGGAAAGCGATAATTCTGTGTTGGGCAATACGGATTGTTTGATAAAAGTCCTTTCCAACCCCACCTTGAGTCTGTATCTTGATGGGCGTCTCGGCCATATTATGATACAGAATGGCTAACATTAATGATTTATATGTTGGTGGACACAGGCGCACAGCGTCCTCGTCCTCTTTCCAGTTGTGTCTACATGAGAAACTGTTTTCGCTGACCAAATCTTTTGGCCGCTACGTTTAGGTCGAGGTGTTATGTTAAGACAAATGAGTAAAGGAGGAGGCCCCTTGTCACACAAATAGCTTCTGGTGCGCGTTTCGGGCACGGTACACAACCTCTCCCCCTGCTTCTGGGTTATAATAGGACTGGCCTAAGGAACAACCTCGCGACACATTTCGGCCGACTGAAAAACAGTAAGGAGAGGGAAAAAAAACCGAAGAGACGTTCTCCTGCCCCTTTAAGAAATTTAGGCGAGAGAGTTTGCGGAAGGGATCACTTAAGGATCGCAAGCCGACTGGGCGAGCTAGTCTCGTGACCGGAGCTGGCCCCGCCTCGGGATCTCCCCCCTCCTAGCCCTCCGCGTTCCATTGTGTGTGCGAGCTGCGTGCGTCCCCGCCTCTCCTTTTTTGGACACGCCCTTTTTTCTCTTGGCTCATTTCCGGCGCGGCCGCTCGCTTCCCTCTGAGGAATCGGGAGAGTGAAGAAACAACAGCCGCCATTTTGTTGGTGTGTGAGCGATTGAGGGGAGGGAGCGAACGAAAAGACCCGAGCTAGGCGGGTACAGCCCTGGAGGTGGAAAACAGCGGCAGAGACTTTCAGCAACTCAGGGCCCACGGCCGGCCAGATCCGAGACAACCTGAAACCTCCGTGATATACCCACTATACTAGCCTCGTAGCCAGTAGGGGAGTACGCACTCTCGGTTTCGGCTAGAAACTCGGGACCCCGGGTGGACTCCACCCCAATTCCTTCTGGCAATCGAGCACGGTCGCGGGTCTAGGGAACCGCTTCGCCTCGATTTGGAGAGCTTGCAGCTGTTTCTCTGAACATCTCCTTTCCTGTGGGGTCTATATGGTGGAGAGGAGACGGGGCCGCTCCTGAAACGCCTGAGGCACGGCGTCTCCAGTGCCGAGGAGAGCCTTATCCTTTCCATAGATCAAGCGCTCGTAACCATCCGTATCCTCCGGGGAGGGGGGGAGAGGCTGAGAGAAGGGGGGAGGGGCCGCTCCTGCCGCTTCCTCCTCCTCCTCCTCGCTTTGGGATCGATCCCGTCGTCTCACCAGAAAGGGGTACCCTGCCGGAGAGAAAGAAAGGAAGAAAAGGAGGGGTGGCAGGCGCGCGTCCTGAAGCCCACCCTCTCCAGCTCCCATCCCGGGATCTCTGCTGCCTCCATCGGGACAACAATCTCTTCTCCGCCTCCTTGTTCCTGCACAACAAGATGTGAAGCGGAGACTCCTGGGACTTAGCTTCATCCTCCTCCTCACGGCTCCCTTTTCTGCAGCCATTAGCGATTAGCAGGAACGGCGCAGGGGGAGTTGGGGGGGACCCTCGGTCCGTTCCGTCGGTGATTCCCTTCCCCAGCCCCTTGTTCTCCACCAGCGTAGGCATTTTCCTCCGTTGCAGGCTGGTTTTGGAAGGAGTAGGAAAGAACTGCGAGCGAAGAAAAACGATTCTTTCTCTCTTCGCCTCTCCTCCTTCGCCCGCCTCCTTGTGGCGATGAGGAGGAGGAGGACGACGCCGAGGAGGAAGAGGTTGATGGCGGCGAAGAGGCAGCAGCAGGAGGAAAAGACGACGACCCCCCGGAGGATGAAGATGGTGGTATTGGCGGCGGCAGCGAGGAGGCACCAACTGTTCTACGGCCGGATTTAATTCGATTTGCAAATTTACCAAGCCCCTTTAATTGATTATAGGAAGGGGCTGTTCTGTTCTTTTCATCCTTGTTTTTCCCTGTGGCCCGGAGAAAAGACTGCTTCCACACCCTGTTTCCCATCTCTGTTCCCCCTTACTCACTGCTATCCAACAGAAATCGATCTCGAGGAGCAGAAAAAGAGGAACTTTGTCTATTTCTTCAGTCCATTTCCATCCTGCTTTTCGGTTGCTTTTGGATCACAAAAAACGGCTGAGGGCATTGGGGATCCCCATCTTTAATTTGGGCTCTGTTTGCCTAAAAAGAATTAAAAATGGCCGAGAATGTGGTGGAGTCGGGCCCGCCTTCAGCCAAGAGGCCTAAACTCTCTTCACCGGCGCTCTCTGTCTCTGCAAGCGATGGCACAGGTCAGTCTTGGGCATAGATCCCTTAATTTTACCTTACCACAAATGGACTCTCTTTTTTTTGGGCAGTCTTTTTGCCAGTCTGTTACATTTCTTTCCTCTGTCTGTCTACACGTTTTTAGTCTATATTTTGCAATATTACTTTGGATATTTAATTTGACATTAATCTTTATTTCTTTGAAGAGGCTGTAAATGAAGTTGATGCTTACCTCTGAGCGTTTGCAGCGCTTGAAATCTTGTAAAAAGTGATCTTCGTTGCATAGTGATTATCTGTGTCTTGTTATAGAGTATTTTCTTTAAATCTTAAACATTTAATTTGAAGAGTCCTTATTTTTCATCTTACCGGTGGTCTGATGGCTTAGGTTTTCATTTCCTTTATTTCCATCAATTATTTAATACTAATATTGTTTCATAAAGAGGTGATTACAGTTGTTGATAGAATTCATTTTGGTGCTTTTGTTAAGGCAGCTTCATTCGATCAATACTGAAAAACAGTGTAGACTTGGTCATCTGCTTTTGTTCAGAGACTAAAATGTCTGAATTTTCCCTGAAGTCATGCCTTATTTGTAAAGAGTACAGTAACACTTGTTTACTTATTTATTTATTAAACAATCAGCTAGATAGCAATACTAGAACTCCTTTGAAATTAGGGATGCATGTTACAGGTGTTCATTTGGTAACAACTGTTTTATAGGTTCTTAGAAGTTTAGGCAACTATACCCATGTGAAGAATAAATTGGCTGCAAAAGAAACATTTTGTTGTTTTCCTGAGATTCTGAGTGGTATAGGATTAGTTATTTTAATTCATCTTATCAGAAGAAATTAATTGGAGTCCTTCAGCCAAAAATGTAGACATTCTGATTATTAATGGTAGCCAGACTCATGCATTGAATTTGTTTTGCACTGCATATATAAATGCAAGGGAAAATGGCTGATTGTATTTGATAGATAGGCTGTGTGTGTGTGTGTGTGTGTGTGTTTTGTCTGAATACTGGTTGGATACATTAGGTAATTTGGAAAGCTTCTTGTGTTTAGTATTTACTTCCGAACAATGTTTCTATTTGAATCTGCAGTCTATCTTGATATCTCCTGCAACTTTAAGGATATGTAGATTATTTGCTACCGAGCACTAGTTTCACTATTTGCAGGCCTAATATGCTTACCTGAAAATCAACAAGTTCCATTTTGCTAGTAGGAAAGCAGGATTGGAATCTGCCTTCAGAATTCTTTGGGGTATATAAGACAAATGCTATAAAATAATACATACTTTTTCAGATTTGTTATAGAATAATCCTTAGTAACATTGTACCCCTTTCCTATGCAGACAATTGAAAATAGGCATCCTGATTTAAAGTTGCAAGCCTGTGCACACACTTCTGAGACTATAGTCCATTGAATGAATTCATAGTCATATAAGTATATTGTGAATGAATACAACCCAATGTATATATATACTCAGATATAAATCTTATTGGATTCAATGGAACTTTTTCAATGAATGCTTCTTTTGCCAATGAGAATGATACAATTTTATTCTCAAAAAGCCATAGTTTTTGCCTTTATACACTATTACATCTTTCCAATTTGTTTTAGAAATATAGATCAGATTAAGTTTGTTGTATTGACTGTTTTAATTTGTTACCATAATTTCCAAATAGTTGCTAAAGTTTTCATTAATCATTACAAATGCAAATTTTATTTTTGTTCGTTGAATCCTCTTTGAAATAATATTTGAAGATTTTCAAATGCAGTAAGCTTAAATATTAAGTTCTTTCAATATATTGCAAGCAGTGAATTGCTAGTTCAGCTTTGTTTTAATATTTGGTTTTCTAAAGCTGTGAAGATATCTGTGATTTAGTGTGTTCTGATAAAGCTATACAGAAAAATGTTACATATGTAAGAATAGTAAACCTCATAGTTGCAACAAATTTCTAACATCTTTCCCATAATGCTGCGTCACAGTGCTGCATCTTTTTTTTAGCTATTACATGCTCTAGATTCATCTTTCTGTTCTTTCTTTCTTTCTTTTTTGCTTACTCTAATTCTCTAGAACATGCACAGGTGTAAATGCTAAATTTATTTGGGAGCTATGGGAAAAGAGCCAGGAATCCATATCTGTTGGCAAATTGTAAATGCATCTACATTATGTAATTACAATAAAAATTATTGTTCAGTCACTAAGTCGTGCCTAACTCTTCGGGACTCCATGGACCACAGCATGCCAAGGCCCCTGTCCTCCACTGTCTCCTGGAGTTTGCCCAAATTCATGTTCATTGCATGATGACACCATCTAACCATCTCATCCTCTGCCATACCCTTTTCCTTTTGCCTTCATAACCAGAAAAATAAGAAAGATTAATAGACATAATTCTTTCTTTATCCTCAAAAATAGTTTTATTCCTTAGAATTTCTACATAAGATTATCTACTAATACAGTTCTCCCTGAAACATTTTGCCATAGTTATCAAGAATACCTTGTCTACTGAGCATTTTTCATGTAGGATTTTCATGTTTATTGTTGGAATATAATCAAGGCCATTCCAACTGAACTAGAGGACAGGCAAAAAAAAATCTGGTTAACAACATAGTAAGCATGAAGTGAATCAAATAACACAACTACAGTTATTTACTGAGGTAGTGTTTTTTGCTTATAATCCTGCTCACAATATTTTGAATCATTTTTTTCATATAGATTTTTGACAAAATTCATCTTAGAACACGTTTCATTTTATTGCATTTCTGCAATTAAGATATGCCAGTCCTATTATGCCTGCTAGTAAACTGTAGTTGCTCTTCAGTTTAATGATACTACATGTAGAAGCTCTGTTTTTCCTCCCCAGAAATGAGTTGTTTCTGTCATCTTACCTATTTTGTGACTATAGAAACATCTGTAAATATGTGTAGTGTATGCTAAATAACATGGCAGATACCAAATTATTTGGACTCTAGGTCTAGGAATTCTGGAAGGAGTATTTGACTGTTTCTTTCATCCTTCAAGCATATGTTTTAAAGTCATCACAGTTTTAAATGGTTTTGTGCTTTTATTGGAATCTTGAGATTCCTTTATTTTTGACAGAAAATTTATTCCAAATGTCTGAAGAATTGTAACAGTATTTGATACTTTTATATAGAGTCTAACTGAAATAGATAATATTACATTAATAGTGTGGCATTTTCTATAGGCATTTATAAAAAAAATGATGTGAGTGGAACTTACCATCTTTGGGTATATGTAAGGAAAAAGGTAATTGAGGTGAGAAACTCTTATAATGTTCCTTGTTTCTGGTTTTGTCATTTCATGACAGAAATGATTATCACTTTCCTAGGATTCAGGAATACTAAGGAAGTGGTAGCAGGTGTTTTTGCTTTTATATAGTATAGGATCCTGTGGATTTCATATCCCAGAGGGAGTTCTGGCAAAGAAGCATGCCATTTCAGTTTCCATCTGTGTTATATGTGGTTGCCCTTGGCTCTTTAAGGAGCCCTAAGATAAACTTCTGAGGGTGTGTAGAATGTATAGCCTTTTCTTTCCTTCATGCAGAATCTCCGAAATTTGCTATTAAGATTAGAGAAGAGGTTTGTTCAAATTCTCACTTAAAGTTGTTATTGCTTTTGGCAATTATGTCATCTGCTATAATTGTATTTTAGGCAAGTTTCAATAAATGCTACTAAACATACAATAGGTTCTTGCTTTTCTGCAATCTGCATCATAAAATGCTTTCTCCATGAACCAATGCCAACAGCTTTTGATATCTTCTGATTTTTAAAATAGAAATTGCTTACTTACCAAAAAATATATTTTTAAAAAAGATCTTTAAAGGAAGTTTGTCTTGTATGTCAGAATTTAATTTCCAATGAACATGCAAATGAAGTTTCAAAAGTTATTTTTGGAAATATACTTACTAATTTAATAGTTGTAGATAAATTACATGGCCTTAAAATTGGAAAAGAGAAAGTTCTGAAAAGTATTCAGTTCCATATGTATAAATGATATCTCTGAATACCCACCAATGTGATGTGGTTGTTAAATAATATGCAATAATAGTGGTTCCAAAGGTGTGCTCTGTACAACTCTTAATTGAATAATCCCAGGAATGGAGAAGGAGATGGTCATGTTGATTCACTTTTCTGTAATACGGCTGCTTATATTCCCCCAAATGTGCTCTGTGTCAATGAGCCTGTGTGAGGAGGTAGCAATAAAATTGATTCCCTGCTGCTTTTCTCTAGAAGACATTGAATTTTTGTAGCTTTCAACAATACAGAGTACATGTTGGTATACTTCTGGAACCATCCTTAAATTAGTAGGATTATGAAGACTTTTACTTGCAAGTAAATATTATGATTTTACTACCAAATGATAACAACTTAAGTTGAATTTAAGAACTTAACTGTCAATTCAGTTCCTGCTTAAGGGGTAAATCATAAAATTAAAGTGAAAACTACATTAATAACTTATTAGTATTTATGCTCCTTATCATTAATATTTGAATCATATTCTGAGTACCATAGGAATATCTCCTTCAAATAAGTTGAAAATTGTTCATTTATATTTCTTCAGTGTACAAAGTCCAATCATGTGTCATGCACTTTTTCCCCACATATAAATAGTGTGGTAAAGGACATCACTTTTCTGTAGGTATAGTTCTTGATTGCCAGGTTGTCTTATCAGCTGCCCTAGAAATACTTTAGTTTTTGAAAAGTGGCATACATATTCTGATTTAAAATTAGCAACAAACATTGAATATCTTGAATATTTTGCTAAAACCCACTGTTTTGGTCTGATCTGCCTTATCACTATAAGAAGCTACTACATTTGTTTGTAAATGTTACATTTTCAGAACTACTGTTGAGGCATATTAACACACTTCAAAGCTCTTTGAAGTAGTATGGTAAACTATTAAAACTTGTTTGGTAGGAGAATTTGTGCCTCTTGGAGCAATATTTGATTAATAATTTTAAAAATAAAGTCACCCCAGAATTTGCCATATTTCCTAAATTAATTTTAAGAAAAACTGATTGTAGGCATGGTAGTCTTCCTTTAGCAGCTCTTATAGCTGTCTTAGGGGGGGATTCTGGAATTTTGGAAAGCTGTTAAAGCAGTTCAAGATTTCAAGAAGCTTCTAAAAGGCAAATAGAATAAAAGCCAAAGGACTTGGCTGAGTTTTATATTTCTTTTAAGATCTTTACCTATTGAATATCATGGAATAAAGACTGTAGAATTAGAAATGTTCATCCTTCACATATTGTGTCTGGTGTCAAGGTTCCGACTAATGAAACACTTCAAAGAACTTTCAGGCATGTTTATCTTGTATGTCAGAATTTAATTTCCAATATTCCAAGTATTCTATCAATACTTGCTTTGACATCTGGGCTATCGCATTGAATAAATTTGGCAATAGACCCAAAATGAGATTGCAGTTGACTTTTTTCTATCATTCAGGAACATGGAATAAGTTGATCTCACGTTTCTATGTCTTCTAATTACATAATCTTTAAACTTGTAAATTTTGTAAGCCAGTTTCAGCAAAATAGAACAATTTGTCTATTGAGTTTTCATCTGGTAAACTTTCCTACTATATGTGATGGATCATTTTTAACTGACAAGTTATAGAATTAAAAATTAGATAAGTAAAGAATGGAATTGCTGAATTTTCTAGCAAAGTGTTGCTGAAACAATGGTGCTCTTAGTTTTTGAGCACTGGGGTTAGTAGAACTGTAAGAAGTCGCATTTAATATTTGAGAGATACTTAAAAGCTTATAATCAATGGAACCAATGTGAGTTAATTGATAGTGAACTGGGTATATTAAAACATGTCATTAAACCAAATTTGAGAGGATTGTTGAGGTGACTTTTTGTTTAAAAAAATTGGTCTAAAGCAAATTAGATAAATAGCTATTCTATCAATACTGAAAAAAAGATTCAGCTGAAATGTTTGCGAAGTGCTCTAAATCATTTTTTTCCCTTTCTCTTTAGATTTTGGATCTCTCTTTGATTTGGAACATGACTTACCAGATGAACTTATCAGCTCTACAGAACTGGGACTCACTAATGGTGGTGACATTAATCAACTGCAGACTAGCCTTGGTATGGCACAAGATGCTGCTTCTAAACACAAACAGTTGTCAGAACTGCTACGAGCTGGCAGCTCACCAAACCTTAATATGGGAGTTGCTGGGCCAGCACAGAATATGGCCAGTCAACCACAACAGAACAATCCTGGAATGGGAATCTTAAACAGTATGGTCAAAAGTCCCATGGCACAGGCTGCAATGACATCTCCAAATTTGGGGATGGGTACAGGTGGGCCAAATCAAGGTCCATCAACTCAGTCCACTGCAGGAATGATGCCAACAGTGAATAGTCCAGTAAATCAGCCTGGAATGGGAATGAATGCAGGAATAAATGCTGGCATGAATCCTGGTATGTTGTCTGCAGGAAATGGGCAAGGAATGATGCAAGGACAAGTTATGAACGGTTCAATTGGAGCTGGAAGAGGACGTTCCAATATGTCATATCCAAACCCAGGAATGGGAAATGCTGGTACTCTAATTGCAGAGACATTACAGCAAGGTTCTCCTCAAATGGGAGGGCAGGCGAACTTGAGAGGTCCACAGCCTGGAGCAATGAACAAGGTATGTCAAATATTTTATTTTGAACACTGACAATGAAAAATACAGTTTCAACATGCCATCCTTTAGGGATGTTTTTGGATGTTTTGCCAGATGCCTTCAGCATATTTGCAGATGGAACATATAACACATAACCTTATCAATGCATATTATGGATAAATTTTACATGGGTGTGAACTGTATAATAAACCCTATATTGGAATCTAGGCATAGTATATTATTCAAAACAATTGCTTGAATTTATAAATATGGAAGGTTTTCCATATGATTGTGCATGAGGTAATTAGTTAATAATTTGGCTAATTGCAAGTGTTAAAAACTGCTTCAAAGGCTAATAACTATCGTTCTAAAGTGTAGCATTAATAATAGAATATGTGAGAGAAGATTATATTGGTTTTGTGTCTTGAATCTTGTGTTTTGCAAAACATTTTAGATGCAAAATAACGTGGATTTGAAATGCTACTTTTCAAGACCCATATGATTGCATTGAATGCAAAATACTTATTTTGCAGATTAAAACAAAGTTTTCAATCATTTTGGAAGTGTTTTGAATCAAAACAGCAATTTTGAACTTGAAATAACATTTTGAATTCAAATTAGTTCAAATTCAAAAAATTTCCATGCCACTACTTTAAGGGGTGTGTTATTTTGTATGTTCCTTTGTTGAGAAGTGATCAGAAAAATAATTGAAAATTTTTACTATTATGGTATCTAATTGGCACCTACAGCAGAATATATTTCTAAATGTGAATAATGGCTTTCATACACTGCTTATACAATTCTTGTGGGAACATTCATGAACTATTTTTAGAAACTAGAAATAGCTGGGGTTAAATTTGAACTTATAGTTTAATTGAATAAACTGTTAATATAAAATAAACAATAACATGATTGAGTACAAACTTGTTAAATCAAAAAATATTTTAATCCAGTCTGATGGATAAACCAGAGCAGATTGGTTATTACAATGTTAATATATAAACCAGTTTCCAAATCACAATGGCTGAGTTTACACATCACACTAAACTTTGAAACAAAGCATATTATATTGTCCTCAGTCTGTCTCTGATAAAACGTAGGACTAGGTTGTGCTAATGCATAGTGATATGTTTCATTTTGATTTTTTAGGCAACTCTAATATATATTCAATGAACCATGGTTAAAATTAACTGTGGTTTAGTAATTTATCATGCTCATTTTTTCATTGGTGAAATCAGAGGAAAAGCAGACAAATATTGAATAAAACCTATACTGATAATCCTAGCTTATCACTCTAATTGGGATTGGCAACACCATGTAATCACCCATGATCGTTAACAAAGATATCACATGACCAAAATATGACTTCTTGGGATTCCTCATTGACTTTGCTTTTCAGAAGCCCTCTGGGATGGTTGCAGATGGTGGTCATGTGACCATTGTTAAAGCACAATGGTTATCAAACACCTGAATTGCAATCATGTGACTGCAGGAATGATCTTAAATGTGTATGTCACTTTTTTCAGAACTGTCAAAACTTTGAAGGTTTGCTTAACAAATCTATTTTGCTCATTGTGTATACTTTTGGGAGAAATTTAATGACTAGTTTTATTAAGAAACATGTTTAGGAAATTGGTATTCTAAATTAATAAATTGCCAACTTTTCCAATCATTTTTCTGAAGTAAGATTTGAAATTATATCTAAGCCAAATCTTTGCCATACTTGTCCAAGTATGATTGTATGGGAGATGGTTGATAATGCTGAGTTGGAGCACTAGGAAGTCAATGTAGTTTCTTGCACAAAGCAGCAGGTGAGGGGCATAGTCTAACTAGAGCTGTTTTACTTAGGGAGATCAACATGGATCAGCGACTCTACTAATTTCTGAAAATTTGCACAATAAACACTTAAGGTGGCATTGTAGCACTGTTCCCTCAATTTCTTGTTAGATTCTTTTGCCTTTTTTATTACCTATTAACAAAATGACGGTCTTATGTAACTGTATTGAAATCAGTTATAAGTATATAACTTATTTAAGTAGGGAGATAATTCCAAATTCTCATTATTCTGTATATCTGCTATTGAAAACTACTCTAGCAGGTAGAACATACTATGGAAACAGTGCAGTAACAATCTGGAATATGAACAATGGGAGCAGAATAACTTGGTTTTTTATGGAATTCAGCTGTTTCTGGATACAGTTTAGCAGAACAACAAAATACTAGTTTAAATTCTTAATATATTTTGTATATTTAAAATGTTTCAGACTGCTTTTTAGGGTAGAACCTAAATCATCTCAAAAAATAGTATTAAAAGCCTGTTAAACAAAGCAGACAGCATATCCCAGAACATATTAAAACTTTAAAAAGTTTCAAATGCCATTGCTAATACATAACCTGGTTCATAGAGTGCTCTACACCAAAATTGGTTTCTGGGTTAATGTCTTGTATAAACCCAATTATTGTAGTTGGCTTAGTAAATAATGCTTAAAAGCTATGGTGTAGCACTTACAAAGCTAGTAGGTGACTTGTGAATCAATGGCTTGATTTCCATTAATACATGGATAATATTAAACTCAGTAAATATTCAATATGAAATTATGCATTAGGATATCTTATTCTGTATGATCATGGTATTTGTCTGCCCAGGGGGAAAGGATTACAGTAGGTAGGGTTTAACCTGGGTATGGATGAACATTAATTTTAATTTTTTTCTCTATTCAAAGACAGTACTAATCCAACCTGACTTATTAAGCACCAGAAAGACCCTGGGATCATTTTTATTTTGAGTAGGTGTTTAATTTAACATTTTTTATTTTAGTTAGCTTAAATTTGGGTATGTGTTTAATGTACTTCTATTATCATATTGTTTTAATTGCTCTGGCCACAGATGTCTTCCCAAATCCTAGCTCTTTCACAGAAAACAACTCAAGACTTTTTAAATGAGAGTGCATATTAATGTACAAATTTTGTTGGTTCTACTTCTACTATCAGAGCTTTTAAAGAACCTGGCTCTAATTTGGAAACATACTCTCGAATTCAACCATTATATTGTGAGATTGCATTACTAATTATACAGTTTACTGTTTTAGAGAAATAATATTTGCCTTATGATTCCAGTTTATTTGAACCAAGAAAACAAATCATCTTGAAGATTTGTTTTAATTTTTTCAGATGTTGCTTTTATGTTTCTAAATATCATGATTGCAGATGCAGTATGTTAGTTATCTTTATACCAAAGAAGATTGCTACAGAATGCTACAAAATTGAATTCAAACCTGCAATTTCAGAATTATTATCTAAATACTATACTTGTTAAGCATAACTTGGATCACATTGTCTAGTAAAATTAATTTGCCTTTGTAAATCTAGAACAGGGGTATCAAACTGCCGGTCCGCAGGCCAGACGTGTCACGCGGAAGCCGCGCCCACCCCATTGCCGGCAATGGCAAAACTGTCTCGATACGTTGCGTGACATCACGAGTTTGACATGTCTGATCTAGAAGATTGCAGGGGGAAAACCTTAATTATCACTGCTTTCAAATAAATTGTGATATGAGAGAAATTTGTCACAGGTTATTCAGAATATTTATTTAATAAAGTTATTTCTCAAACATGGCAGCAAAAATTGTATTATTTACTCAGATTTGTCAGTTGCTGAATTATAATGCTTAAGATGAGGATTTTTGCTAACATTGATGGCAGTATCTTAAATTGTATTATCAAAGGTACTTTTGAAAAAACCAATGTTCTGTCAGTTACATAAATCTCATTATCTAATTAATCTATGCATAAGAATCTCTGATTCATCAGAATCTAGCATCTTTATAGGCTTTATTTCATAAGAATAATATAATGGACACCATTTTCTCATAGTTGCTGGAAATGGATGATAGTGTTCTGATGTTCTCAGAATTTAATAAAAGCAAATTAACTCATAAAAAGACAGTAAAATATTACTCCTATAAATAAAGCTACTAAAAATGACTCTTGCAATTAAAAAACAAATGAGTTACCTGGAAAATGCAACCAGTTTCAAACACTTTTAACTGCATTTGATGGTATTGGTTTATAATTGATAATCCTCTTAAATAGTATGTGTCCATTCCTGTTTTTAAAATTGCTGCAAGCAACAATATTTTAGATGGGTTTACATTTCAAGCTACGTTAGTCTCTTTAAAGATGTTTTTTAATGTATGGTTTGCAAATCATGGTTTAATGTGAAAGCTAATTGACAAGTTGCATCCAAATTGCAGTCAGAAAATTTCTGTTAATGTTAAAATAAGTAAATAAAACATTGAATTGCCAATATTCTTAGAAAGCTAAATTATGTGCTGTTTTGGAAGCTTGGGTGTTCTCAGAAAGCAACATGGGAGATATGATGTATTGCAGAGGAGACAGTAGAGTCAATACCTGCCAAAATAAAAAAGGCCCCATAGCTATTCTTACATAAAGTTTCTGCTTTCTTTTCAGAGAATGAAAAGAAGGCATTGTGTAAAAATCTTTCCCCAGACCATAAGTCTGAATCTAGGAAGATTCTTGAAGAAAGAAAGAAATTTTATTTTTTGTTTGAGATAAGAATATTAAGGATATTGTAGAATTTGTTTATGATGGAACCCTAAATGATACTGAAGCCCATGGATGGCTGCTATACCTAGATCAGTTTGGGGAAAAAAGTTACTCTAATGTCCAATAAATGTAAATAATGACATTTGCCATGATTTACATTATTTTGCTTAATATTACGATGCTGTTCATGTCATAATTTATATTTTTATCATTCGTATAAAATATGTATTTAACTACTTTGTAATATAAGTTATTTGTGGGAGAGACTTAAGTTAACAAAGTGTCATCGTACTTGGGATGAATTTGACACAATTGTGTGTCTAATCATACTTAGGCAAATAAAGTATTCAATTCAGTTCAATTGCACTTTGGAATTCCAAGGCTATTGGCTAGCCTGGGCCATAAAATCTCAAAAAAGGCATATCAAACCTCTTCCATAATTCCAAGAAAACTCTATG